CTTAGCTTTGAGTTTTCTGGAGTTCTGAGTTACTCCACTTCGACAAATCAGTTCTTATGCTCTCCCTTCACATTCAACTTTCTAATGTTATGCTAACGTCTCTTGTCTGATGTCTCTTTCCTGGCTCTCCTGGTACTTGTGGTTTTATACTTATTTTATTAATTTACTATCATTTTAGTGGAAACTTCAGAGGAAACAGTTACAAAACACATGTAGTATATTCTCCAAAGCCCACAGTTTGAAGTTTTACTAGTATCTCTTCTTTTCTTCTCTTCCTTGCTTATCCTTCCCCAACACTGTACCTAATTCTTGACCACAACACTAATCAGAAATAAATTTTAAAATCACCTATGTTATTTAAAAAACTTCTTGCTCACTCATCCTACCTTTATAAAGTAAATAAGGTTTAGGAAGTCTTTCTAAATGAGGAAAAATAAGCTATAATTCAATTTCAATATTTTCACTTCAAATGCAATTTAATGTTTTCGTCTGACTGCTAATTTCTCCATGTCATAGCAGTACAGACAAAGTACAGGATCTTCACATTATGGACCAATTTTGTGCATTCCATAGTTAATTTTTCAAATCTCACAATCAGCTTCTTGTCAATTATTCAGATAAAGTAAGCCTGGGGAATGGAGAAGAAGGAATGCTGAGATCATTATCTTTTCAGAAGAGTTGTAGGACATACTTTATGTTCTTTTTTTAAAAAAAATTTCATTTTCAGCATTCTTTGGTTAGATAAATAGTCTTTGTTTTGACATGTACTGCAACAGTTTCTAAGATTCTATCCTAGTTCTTCTTTCTGTGCAAACCACCCCACACTTCTTCCTGGCCACCAAAACAAAAATATAAGACATAAAAAACCTAAGTCTATCTCATTTTCCACAAGACATCCATGGTAGTTTGCAGATATCTTAAACTAGCAATAATAATCCTCTTTTGACATTTGTCTCTAACCCAAGGTGGTAATCAAGTGGAAACGGTATACTCGACATGAGTCAGCCAGTACAGAATAAAAGGGCTTATGATTTTCCTTGTTATAGGCGATTCTTAACTCAGACTAAATGGAATTGGGCTTTTCAAGGTGTCTACCACAGGTAGGTTTACATATATCCCAACATATTATTTCTAAGGTGCAACCATTGATAAGCTTTTACACACCAGAACTAACTGCAGTACCCATGCATGAGAATTTCTATTCAATTTAGCAAAGGTTCATCTTTGAATTTTAGCTTGTCTTTTCAAACTTCAAAAATCTTTTTTGAATCCGAAGTCAGAGAACATTCCTCTCCCAACCAAAATTCATTAATACTAGATCATAAATTTGAATATTCTGCCTTATATGTCTTCATTTGAGTCACTGATGACAGAATTTGAGTAGAAAAGGTCAAAAAGAAAGCCCTATGATTTATCCCCAGAGACCTTTATTCAGGTTGACGCCAGTCCACCAGTGAATTCTATTTGATTTCAATTGGTCAACTGATTACATCAGCCTAACTGTATTATTTTTAAACTGCTTTCTATTCATCATGGGCGCATAATAAAAAAGTTAGTCAAATGTTTTGATAAAATCATTTCCTGGTCTGCCAGTTCATTACATTTTTTTATAAAAGCTCCTGAGATTAGTTTAGCATAATTTCTTCTTTGTGAATTCAGGCTGTATATATCAGTTGTTGCTGCTAATTGCTCTTAAAATATCCATCTAATAATACATTCTAGAGATCTTTCAGTTTATTATGTCAGGGTCAGGACATCTTCACTCTTTTCTCCTCTCTGAAACTAACCAAAAACAATAAGGCAAATTAGATATAGAAACTAAAATTGTCATTTCTTCTTCCTTTTTTTCAGTGCTTGGGATCAAACCCAAAGCCTTGCATATGCTAAGCAATTGATCTACCACTGAGCTACATCTGCAACCTTAAAATTTTATATTTGATATAACTGGAATGCTTTTATAACCTTGATTCTTAAAAGTAACATTTTAGGACCAGGGATTTAGCTCAGTGGTTTCACCACCTGCTACGCAAGCACAAGGACCTGAGTTCAATCCCCGGTACCCCCCCAAAAAGTAACATTTTATTCTGAATGCAATGAAAATGAGATCAAGAAGAAGAAACCACAAAGAACACCTGATGCTCTGGGTTTCAGCCCAAGGATAAAATTTCAAAAAGTAGGTGGCATGTCCTATGAAAAAAACAGATCATCTTTGTTTTTAAATAAAATCAGTTTCAGTCTGGTTCGCAGCGATATCGTCCTGGAATTCTGTTTGAACAATACCTAATGACAGAGGAGGTAGAGACTGGAAAATCAAGCAATATGACACCAAAAGCGCACCCATACTCACACCTGTACCATACAGAGAGTGCTTTCCTATAAGCAAGGAAAGTTCTTGCTGGGTAGAAGCAGAATTGAGACAGGAAGTAGGACTCATAACAGTTTACACAGACAAAGATGATGACCAAGTTATGGATGCACTACTGCTCACTACTGCCCCACTCACTCTCAGTCACTCCACATACGGATGCTCCCACACAGAATAGGGCTAGTGAGCAACTCCTGTGATGTAAGTTCAAGTGGTAAATGAAGACAGACTATCATGATACTAATACAAAATAGGTGCAAATGGAGGGAAATCTCTAATAAAGGACTGTTAGACAGTACACAAAAGAAGCATGGGATACATGAAAACTAAGTTATGAGAGATAAAATAAATGTAAGCCAAAATAATTGTACCATAGAAATAAAGGTGAACAAACACGGTTGAAAATAGAAGATATGCTTAAATTGGGGGGGAAACCAAATGAAAAATAAGGAGTTAAAAATTACTAGAAAAGATGAAAATGATTAAAGTCAATAATTGATAATTTGAAATAAGAAAAAGTCCAAGGGTTTGGGGATGGTGGAAGGGAAAGGGGAAAGGGAAGAAGGGAAAGAAAAAAATTATGAGAAAAAAAATGGAATCAAACTCTGTGTAGATAGGGCAGGGTGGAGGGGGTGAAGGGTGCACAGGTAGTGGGAGAAAAAATAAAAACTAAGATACATCATGTTCTGGTACAAACACCCAATGATAAATGTAAATGTATCTTATACCTAAAATGTACCAATAAATATATACATTTAAAAATAAAAAAAAATTTAAAAATTACTAGAAAAGAAATGGTAGCCATGGAAGAGCAAAATAAGCTCCATCACTGGCATAATCTCTGCTTCTGGGAAGAGAAGAGAAGAAATATGTTTCCAAGAACGCTTTCCTGAAACATAGAAGGCAATTATTCTATAGACTTAAAGGGCTGTATGGTGTCCCAGCAAAAATTAATACATATTGATCAGGATATAGTCTTGTAAAGTAACAGGACTTCACAAATAAAAGATATATTTATATGGGCTTCTAGACCATGGAATCAAGTTTCCTATGCTGTGAGAAATTCTCATGCTGGCTCTAAATATCTGGATAACAACATTCAGTGCCAGAATTAAGTATAGAAATCATACAGAATCATCAGAGAAAGAGAATCTGACCTATCAATTGTACAACAACCCAACTATAATTCAAAAATAAGCATAATGGACACACAGTTTACATATGCAAGGAAGTAGGAAACATGGATCCCATGAGACCTTCTCAAAGAAACTTCTAGAAGCAAGCCTTAAGATAACTAATGAATAGAAAAATGGATCAAAGAAAGGAACTTATTTAAATATAGTATGATGACTAAACAACTATAGGAATTTTGGTTGCATAAAAGGCTATAAATACACTAAAACTTGACAAGGCATAAAGAGTAACAGAACAAAGTTGGGAGATAAAAGGGATTAGTAGAGAGATAAGGTGGGGCAAATATACTGATTTCTTTGTATCTTATAGTAGATGAGTGATATTTTTAATAGCTAATAAATCAATGTATAGAGGGGTAAATATATACTGAGAGCACAAAAATAACAACAGGAGGTAAAGTATATGGAGGAAACAGAAACACATTTTTCTTCTTAACTTATAGCAGAGTTAATAAGTTCTATTTAAATAAGTAATTAAAATCTATTCCAAATTTTCCCAACTCAACATTGTGTACTCTGGGGAATGAATCTTTCCCCCCAGTTTGAAAAATTTTCGATAGCATTTCTCCACAATTCTTTGAAGAGTACTGGAATAGTTCTGGAATCATATCTGCCAGTTCTTCTTAGCATATCAGATAACCTTCATCTATATCTAGATACCTGAACTCATTAAAGCATCCAGGGAAGACAATCTGGATTTCATGGTATTTACAATTCATTCCTACCAATCTCATCGGTTTATGTTCCCTCTCTTCTCTGCCATTCATGCACCAATCCAACCAATGTTCATTCAGCTTTAAATGAGTCAGATGCTGTTCAGGGATGCAGGTAAAGCCATGCTCTCAAAATGTTCATAGTCTAGTAAGGAGGCAGACCAATAACTTTAATACAAATACATTGCTTAATATCAGGAGTGTCTGCCTACATAGAAGTTAAATTTGTCTGGCACATATCCTGGAGAAAGCAGCATTTCAGTTGGTTCCGGAAGAACAAGTCTTCACTAGTCGGGGGAAAAGAACTTTTCTGGTGGAGGATATGAAATAAGAAAAGACCCAGAAGGATGACCCAGAGTGAGACCACATTGGTTTGAGTGTGATGTGAACGTACTGGGAAGCAAGGGGCAGAGGTAGCCCCAGAGACTGTTCTCTAGATTGAAGTAGAGCCCCAGCTTCTGGGTAACATTGTAAATGACAGTGATTTTTGCCTTGAGTCTAGCAGCATCACACTTAGGTTTGATCTCAGACGACAGGCCATTAACCCCTCCGTGAAGCTTGCCCTCTTTGCCAAGAAATGCTCCAGTGGAGACCTGGATTGACGACCCCAGTGAGTAGCGCACAGCCCAACCCAGCTGCCACTGGCCATGGGCTGCTCACTCCTGGTCCCAATACAGCTCTCTCAGGACATGCTTCCCAGCCCGGGGAACTTTCTCTGCTGGGTCTCACCTTTGTCTCCGGCACCTCGGGAGTCTTCTTGCCTTCCCAGGCCCAACTCCGCTTGGTGAAATAGTTGACAGTCGCGAATTCAATCAGAGCAGAAAAGACAAAGGCATAACAGACGGCTATGAACCAGTCCATGGCCGTCGCGTACGCCACTTTAGGTAAGGAGTTTCTGGCACTGATACTCAAAGTGGTCATGGTGAGCACAGTGGTAACACCTGGAGAGAGAAGATGACAGTAGTTGCAAAGGGATGACATTGAGCATGTATTTGATGAGGTCACCAACTTCCTACTGGGAAGAAGGACCTTTATGTTATTCCTTCAAAGTAAAATACAGAGAAAGCCAAAGTTGGATGAGTCTACCCCATAACCACCCCATATAGAATGTTTCCAGGCAAGCTTTCCTGAAACACAGACGGTCATCTATCTATAGGCTTAAAGGGCAATACAGCGTCCGAAGAAAAATTAATACATGTTGATCAGGACATATCCTTGGAAAAGAATTGGACTTAGCAAATAAAAGATACATCGATACGCACTTCTAGACTATGGAATCAAGGCCCTTACTCATGCTGGCTCAGGAATAGGAACCTTCAGGGTTGCATTTCTAACAGTTTTTCTCTGGTCTCTGCTTAAACATTTCTATCAAGAAGTACATAAGCCATTTCATCGTAAACTGCTTTTAAATTAGAAAAACCGTCTTTTACAGCTGAAATCTGCCTTCTCTAACTACTACTCCACTAACTGATCTCAAAGTTCCCTCTGTGACCACATGGCAAGAAAAATTCTGCTCCCTCCTCTCCAGGACAGGCCTTCAGGGACTTGAGAAGGGTGGATATGATTTCTTGTGGCTCTACTCATCTCCAGAATGAACACGGAGCTCAGTGTTCTCCTCATGAACTCTTTTTTTGTTGTTTTTTTCAGATGGTATCTGAATGTGTATCCCAGGCTGGCTTTGACCTTGGGTAATACTCCTGCCTCTGCCTCCCAAGAGTGCTGGGATTATAGGTGTGTATCAGCACGCCCAATACAAATTTTTCCTGTTCACCTCCTTCCCCACCCTGGTAGTTCTCTCCTGAGAACTGAGCCCAAGACTCAGGATATGGGCTGAATTCAGCAGGATTTTCCCTTCTTTCATTCTGGATCATCTTCTGATAATGCAATCAACTAAAGTGGAAAGTGGTTTTATTAGTTAGTTGCCTTACACCTTAGGTCCCTACTGAGCTTCCTGGACAAAGTATTCCAACAATGTATGTCTTGTAAGGTTTTGGAAAACCAGAGCTTGTTTTTAGATCAATTGCTTCTATTTTCCTTCCTTCATTTTTAACTTACATTTAAAAGTTTTTTTAAAAATATATACTTTTACTAATATACATTTGTGATCCAGAAATTACATTTATCTTGAGGAATTAGTAAATATACATATGCATATTGCACCTTGATCATTTTTAATCTCCCTTTCCCCTTCCATCCTCTCCTCTCCTTCCTTCCCATCTCCATAGTCTACGTCCCTGTTTCCCATCTTTCTCTTATTTTGCTCTTGAGGTTATTTATATTTTTGGTTTCTTTTAAAAATTTCTCATGTTTTAGATATGGATATGAGCCATATAGTGTTGGGGGTAAAAGTATAAGCTTTACAGTCAGACCAAGTTCAACAGAAATCTGGAAAATCCCACTAACTAGTAATATGACCTCAAACAAGCTGTTTTCACCTGGCAGGCCTCAGTTTCATCAGGTGTAAAATGGGGATACTGTAATAATACCAGAAAGCAAAGAGATTTGTTGGGGAATTGAATGAGATGATATTTATAAAGTCTACAGCAAGACACCTGATGCTGAGTACTCCAAAAATAGCATGTATAATTGATATTATTTTATTGTTATTTATAATAGTATTGTCAAAATTAGTGGTATAAAATCATGCTGTTATAATTTTATAATTGTTTGCAATAATTACCTAGTTTTAACGAGTACTCCACTAGAAGTTAGAAGTTCTGACTGCTGCCACTTACTTGTTTTGTATCTTGGCAATGTCTTTAATCTCTCTGTGCTGTGATTCTCCCCACCTATCAGCCCATCAGGGTTACCTGCTGTCCTGCTGTCCCTATGTTCTGGGATTCTGATAAGGCACTTGAAGAAGAAGGAATGTTCTGAACCTCTTTCTGAGGAATGAAATACTGAAGAAGATGGGAAATACGAGCCTCCTGAGCCTGGGTCAAGTGGGCACAAACTACTGAGAGACGCTATATAAAAAAGCAAGCGGAGAAAATGCTGCTCCTGAGAACTCTGCCCAGAGTTGGCCTTGGGCCTTGCAGCCTCTGAGGTCTCTTCTCCTGTCCTACTGCACTGAACACCTCCCTTACACATGTGCTACATACATGAGCATCCACACTGGAAAGCCCTCAGTGCGATGAGAACAGAGAGCCTGAGGATACCTATGCCCACTTCAGGCAGGGAGCCAGCAAAGCTGATTAGCAAATTCTCTTTTAAGCCATGTAGGGAATCAGTTACCTGCTGAGTGCCTGTCAGTAAACCATCTGAATTTGTGCCTTGCTAAGATCTGAGAATGGAGCCCAGGGTCAATAACCCTTCGATCATACCAAGGAAGGAGTGACTTGTGGAAGAAAAAGCTTCCTCTTTCATGGCAAATGCAGTTGTCTACCCGGCACATCCCAATAACTGGAGAGAAGTGTACTGCGACATCAGTGTGTCTGGGCCCCATCTCAGTAGGGTTTTCGGGCTCTGGCCTCTGGGGTTTAATTAAGACTGTCATCTTATAGAGAGCTCTTAGCTGCTCAGAGCTGGTGAGACTCTTGATCCAGCATTTGGTATACTTCATGGAGAGACAAAGAAATTCTCAGCATTTTAAAGAGACCCAGCCTGTCACACAGTGCTTCTCTTTCAAGACTGTTCTTTGAATCCTTTCTGGAAACACTCAGTAGAACTGACTGACGGTGCTTCCTCTGAGTGCTCCTAGCACACTTCCCTGACAACAGGTGTCTGTCCCACCAAACTGCAGGTGTATCGAGTGCAACTGGCTCTTATCCTCTGGCCCAGCCAATAGCCCATGGTGCCGCGCTACATGCCCGCCCTGCAGGGTTCCTGGTGCACTTTTCTCATAGTTACTGTATTGTAATTATCGGTAATATAGTTCGTCTTGCCTCCTTTGCTTCAACATTAGCAACTGCCTGTTCTGTGCCTTACACAGAGTTAGGTCACAGGGATTCAAACTTTGAAACATTTCAGACATCAGCATTCTAAACGAGTACCCATCCTCTGCCCCTGAGATAATGAGAATGAGTCATGCTTCACCCCCTTGAGGCCAAAGCTATTTAGTCATCATCAGTCAGGCTTCATCTTTATAGGAATTAGTCAAACTTTTTCCAAAGCAGAAATATCATTTTACATGCCCATCAGTAGTGTGTGAGTTTCGATTGCCACTCAAGCTCTGATAAAGTCAACTTTTTAATTTTGACCACTCTCGTGTTTAAAGTGAGATGTCCATGAGGTTGTAGCTTAAATTTCCCTGATAAAACATGACGTGAAGCATCTTTTAATATGCTTATGGAGATTTGGATTTACTCTTTGGTGAACTATCTGCTCACGTCTTCTGCTCATTTTAAAAACTGGATTCTTTGCCTTTTCATTATTGAATTGTAGGGACCCTTTATTTTTTTAGCATATATATCCCTTGGCAAGCTCATATGTCTTATACAGTGAGATGGCCAATACATTTTCCTAACATTACCTTTTGATTAGAAGAAATTGTTGATCTTGATTAAGCCCAATTTATTAGTTCACTTTTTGATGTTGTTAATTTTTGTGCACTAAGGAATTTTTGTCTACCAAAAGTTCCAAAAACATTGCTTCATATTTTCTTCTAAGAACATCATATTTTTAGTTCTTACATTTAAGTCCATGATCCATCTCAAATTCTCTGCAATGCCATCTTTGTGATAAAGTTTCCATGTACTACTTTTAAGTTCTCTATGGTGTTTCATCTATGTATTTTTCTTTTCTTTATATGAGTGGCACACTGTCTTAATTGCTATAGATTTTTAATCATTTGTGACATCTTGTGGGATAAGTCTCTCCACTTTGTGCTTCTTTAGGCAGATATTGGCTATTCTTGGCTCTTTGTACTTACAGAAATATTCTGCAGTCACTTTTTAAATTAAAACTTCAACTTGGAGGTTTGCACATCAATTCAGTTACTGTAAATATGAATTCTAAATTAGTAGGAGGCCAAGTTTGAATTAAAAAATAATTTCTCAAGGAATTCCACATTTCATACAAGGCTCGGGCCAAAATCAAAATGTTGTCTTATTGTCTCTTTGTACTGATATGTGTAATTTTCTAGTGCTCTCTTACTTTGAGTGTATAGCATTTCAGTGGCACTGGGTTTATAAAAAAGATATTTGTATTAATTTTCTGTGGCTTCTGAAACAAATGAACTCAAATTTGGTGGCAAAGCAACACAAATCTGTCCTCACTGATGTCAACACTGGAAGTCTGAAATCAGTTTCCCTGGGTTAATGTCAGAGTCCTCTGGGGGCTACAGAAAGCAACTCAGCTTTCAGAACTACATTACTTGGACTCCTTGTCTCTTGGGCCATTTTCCTGCTTCTTCAAAGTCAACAGCAGAGCATCTCCCAGTTTGTTCTGCTTCTATCATCACTTGCTTTCTCCTTCACATTCAAATGCCCCTTTGCCTTACTTTGAGAAGAACATTGTGATTCCATGTAGGGTCTATCCACATAATACAAGATAATTTCCCAGCTTGAGGGGCATTTAATGCCCATTTAATTCCATCTGCAGAGTTACTTTTGTCATATAGGGTTACATTCGCAAGCTCCAGGAACTTGGGGCCATCATTCTGTCTACCACAGTATTTTTTGGCAACCTTCAACTTGAATCAGGCTCAATGCCTCTCTATATAACCTTAAATTTTAAACATCTGTTCACCAAAACCAGTAATTCACCCACTCATCTTCCTGTGACAATGTCACCATTTTATGTGATCAACCCTCTAGTTCTCAGTTCCTTCTTCCCTTTGGGCCTCTGAGTCTTTCCTTTAATGTTTTAGGAGCTCAGATGTTAAAGAGTGTTTTCTTATTTAGCTTTTGTAGGATTTTGTAGAGGAAGGTTTTTCAGGTTTCTACTTTGTTGCATTTCTGAAAATTGACACTGCTAGCTCACTCCCATATAGCTTCTGCTCCCTGCACTTGGCTAGAATTGTTCTTTTCAAGATCACCAAATCTAAATATACTACAGTACGAACTCACAATAGGATTCACCCCAGATGATTATTCCCTGCTTCTTAAACACTTTCTTCTCCTGACTTCCATGAGGTCATACTTTTCTGGGGTTTTTTCCTGCTTTCGAGTTATCCTTACTCTTCCTCCACTGCTGTCTCCTCCTAGACCTGATTTAAAGTATCACTTCTCTCTGAAACATCAGAACAGTTTATTTAATTAATGACAAAAGTACAGCTTCGGGATATTTGTATAAATGCCTTCTGCATGGGTACCCAGCACACCCAAGTCTATGCTTCACAGCCTCCATTACCAGGAGGCAGCTTAGTAGCCTAAAAGAATTAATTAATATTTATCTCCTAAAATCATGCAGTGAGAAAAACAGGCAGAAAACGTTTCATATATTTTAATTCTCTGAGGACAAAGTACTAATGATATGCAAACCTCTTCCTAGTTTCTCTGACTGTAGGTACAACTGAAGAACCCTTCAAACCATGTGCAGCCTTTCCTACATAGCAGCTAACTCATACTTTCAAAAGCACCAAAGTCAGATGCTCATACAAAAAGGTTATCTTTAAGCCCTAGATCAAGTCTCCCTTGTCACTTTGGTTTCTCACCCTTTACCTTCTCCAATCTGAAATCTTAGAAAACACAGATAAGAGGCCACTGTTGCATAGCCCAGACATACAATTAGAATCTTATAGAAAATAGACCGAAAGTTCAGTGAGTTTTGTTTCTGAATGCATACATTAAGTGCTGCTGCTGGAAAATGCAATATACCTTTGGTAATATACTTTCCCAAGTATCAAGGTATTTTATAGAGGGCCGGCCGGGGATTTAGCTCAATTGCCTAAAATCAAAACAACACTGAGGTTCCATCTTACTCCAGTAAGAATGGCTATCATCAAGGACTCAAAAAACAACAAAAGTTGGTGAGCTTGTGGGGAAAAAAGAAATGCTCACACATTGTTGGTGGAGATGTAAACTAGGGCAACCACTATGGAAATCACTATGGAGATCCTTCAGAGAAGTAGAAATAGAAATTTCATGTTACAGTGATACATGCATATCCATGTTTACGGTGGCACAACTCATAATAGCTAAATCCTGGAAATAGTTAACTCATCAACAGATGAGTGGAGAAAGAAGAAAGGATGTATACACATAATGGAATACTACTCAGACATAAAGAGGGATAAGTTTCAGTCATTTGTAGGAAAATAGATGCACTTTGAGTCTATAATGTTAAGTGAAATAAATCAGACATGGAAGGTTAAATATCACATATTTCTCTTATATGAGAAATCCAAAATATAAATAATTTAGAGAACAAAGTAAAAGAGAGCTGGTAGGACATGGGGATGGAGACATTATGCACCTGGGAAGGGGTTCTGGGGAAGAATGAGCAGGGGGAGAGAGGCAAGAGGAAGTTAAATGAGCAGAGTGCAATACGTAAATGCATCACTTCCGCAAGATGGATGGCAAACATATACAATGAAAAAAAAGAAAACGAAAAAAAGAGTTCAGATGCCTGAAATCCCCCAAATCTGATGCCTCAGTTACTACCGCTAGGCTCTGACACTGTTCCTGAACCTGGGGGAATGGTTTCTCCACCTTTCTTGTCTCCACCCTCACCGCTCTCCAAGGACCTCATGAATGTCTTTTCCCCGTTCTTCACAAAACAGCGCTTACCAAAGACCGTGCGCGCAGGGACAGATTCTCTGTTGAGCCAGAAAGACACCTGTGACAGAATGACAGTCATGATACATGGCAAATAGGTCTGGATCACAAAGTAGCCAATTTTTCGCTTGAGATGAAAGTGGGTTGTCATGATGACATATTCTCCTGGGGTGGGGGTGGGGGGCGGGGAGAGAGAGAGAGAGAGTAAAATTGGTCAGTACGTAGCCATACAAACAATGCTAAAGCAAGTTTGGCCCGATTTCAGTCCATGAGGTTCCTTAATCTCACATTCAAGACATATTGGAACCTCCCAAGCTCATGTAACCAGAGGTCTTCAACAGTCATGAAATAGTGTGCTTTTGGCATGAAAATTATGCCAACAGTATACAAATACAACTTTCTCAGAGCAATTTTGACCCAAGTTCATTCAAATAAATTTGATATTCCTATTTAAATAATAATAAGAAATAACAGTCTCTTCTAGAGCACTTGCTATGTGATGGCCACTCATGTAGCCCTTTAACTTTATTAAAATATTTAGTTTTCATAACAGTTTCTTGAATAAGGTGCTACTGTTATCCCCATTTTATAGGTCAAGAAACTGAGGTAAGGAGAGATTGAGCAACTTGCAGAAGGTTACCCAGCTAGTAAGTAGTGGAGCCCAAATTCACGCTCAGATAGATCAACTCCCCGTATATACATTTTACCCACTATGCTCTGCTGTGCTAATGTAGTTATTTGGTTAAAACAAAATGTTCCCATAGCAGAATGTGGGCCAACCCACATTACCTCACCTCCCAAATAAGAGTAACTACTTACTGAGTTTTAATGGGTGCCAAACAACAGCAGCCCTGTCAAGTTATGTACTAATCGACACTCTTAAATCCAAAAGTCAATTCTCAGTTTTCTAGATTTGTCAGCAGTATTTTGCAGAGTTGAATTTTCCATTCTCCTAGAGTCACTCTCTTCACAGAAACTTCTAGAAACCAATTCTCTTCTTGTCTCCATTCCATTTCACTGACCATTCCTCCCGTCACCTTGGCTGGTTCCTTTTAATTTCTAAATGTTGAATGACATCCAGACCCAAGGCTTATACTTCCCTTTCTGTCTTACTTACTCCCTTGAATTTTATCTCCAACCTGTGTCTTTAACATATTGAACTATGATGATTCCTGGATGTATCTTCTGCCTGGACTTCCTACTTGTTTCAGGTTGAATTGTGTTTAGGAAGACATGGTAAATTCTGGGGCTGGGGATTTAGCTCAGTGGTTTCACCACCTGCTGTGCAAGTGCAAGGACCCGAGGGACCTGAGTTCAATTGCCAGAACCAAAAAAAAAAAAAGAAAGATATGGTAAATTCTTAGCCTACAGTACTACAGAATGTGATCTTATTTGAAAAGAGGATTATTGTAGATATAATTACAATAATACCTCAGTTCAGGGATGCTTCTGTTTGCAAACAATTCAGTTCACAAACAGAAGCATTCAGCAAAATTGTGCTTCCATTGGTCAACTCTGCATTGGGTGACAAACGTATCCATGGCCATTTTCCCCAGAATCGTGGAAAGAATCAAGTTTGTGAACCAAGGTACCACTATACGTAACATGAGTCCATCTAGAGTGAAGTGGCCCTTCGTTCAATATGACTGACATTCTCACAAGGAGAAGACCCAGAGGCCAAACACCATGAATAGCAGCAGCAGAGGCTGAGGTGGTGGGTCCACAAGCCAAGGAGCACTACATTGTGTCAGCCCTCAGCAGTGTCTAGGAAGAGGCGGGGGTAGACTCCCCCTTGGAGGCTCCAGAAAGATATAACCCTGCCAATACCTTGACTTCTGAACTTCGAGCCTCCAGAGCTCCTAGACCATGAATTTCTGTTGGTTAAGCTTCCCAGTGTGTGAAGCCTAGCTAAAGGAGCCTTGGAGTCCCCTACACACACGCGCATGTGCACACACACACATACAAACACATACATACATACATACATTTGACCACCTGCTGGACATCACTGTTGTGGGATCTAATAGGCATCTTGCTGTAACATGTCCAAATCTTGGCTTTTACTCTCCCCATCCCCTATCCTCTTCCAAGCTGGTTCTGCCAATAGACTGTCCTGTCTCAAAAAATGGTAGCTCTCAAGTGCTTAGGCCAAAATCAAAATCTTCAACTTCTTTAACATCATTATTCCTTCTCTGTCTGTCTGTCTGTCTGTCTCTCTCACTGGCATGCACGTGCACACACACAGACACACACACACACACACACACACACACAAAATCCATCAGCAAACTCTTCCTGCTCCTTTTTTTTGAAAATATATCCATAATTTTGACCACTTCTGGCCAGCTGCACATCAATCCCCCTGGTCTGAGCCACCATCACCTCTCCCTCTCCCTAGAACCTGGCCACAGCTTTCTGCCTACTTGCCTTATCCCTGCCCTTGCACCTCTTCAGTGCATTCTTAGCCCAGCAGCCTAAATGATCCAATGAAACCTAATTCAGATCCTGTCCCTTATGTTCAAGACGCTCCAATGCGTTATCGTTTGTTGGAGACTAAAAGCCAAATTCCCCCAAATAGTCTCCAAAGACTCATGTTATCCAACTGCTGGAATACTTATCAAATCTTCTTTTTCACCTCTCTTCCCTCCACCCACGTTTGCTTTTGGCAGGATTCCCGAATGAGGCAATTTCCCACTCTTACCCCGCCCACTCCCTTGTACTTAAGCCTAAAAAGCACCATCTGGCCAGTCAAGGCTTAGTATATAATCCATAGTCTGTGCATGTTCACATCGTGTTTACGTGGTCATGAGAAATACACATAGGCTAATCTGTCATTTAGCAAAGGATCTCGTATAAAAATGTGGAATGTGTTCCTCAATATAACTTTGTGGTTTCTCTTTTCTTCCTGCTTTTCTTTCAGTCTCTCTCTGTGTCTCTCGTTCTTATCCATATTTACCCTTTTCTCTCCTTTTCCTTCCTTCTCTCTCCCGCCACTCCAAAAGAATTGAGGAATTATTTTTCCTGAATGTTGGACTTTCATTAGCTTTGGCAATTTCTTCCCCATCTTAGTCTCATAATCCTGAACCCCTTTTATTAATCTTACCTTTGACTAAATATATGAAACATGTAATATATAAAATATAAAAAATCTTATTCGTAAAGCAGTTACATTCTGTGGATCTAAAGGCAAAGCATACATACTTTTCAAATGCTTATCAAATTAACCATTTGTTTTGACTAACTGAATATATTTGTCTTCACTCTTTCTTTCCTTCCCTCTCAGCCTTGCTGTCTCTGTTTCAAAGAGGCAAAGAAAATTCTCCATATTGAAAACTAAAGCCTTTCACCTGATTGAAGAGCTTTCCCCTGTTCTTGCCCTTTTATTGGAGACTGTCCGTGTCCAAGGGGAAATAGTCAAAAGGACAGTGAAAAGCCACTTTTGCATATTCACAGGCATTCGTGGTCTGGATAGTTTCTATGGTGAAAAATTATAATTGGACATTCAGAAAGCCTAGCAAATTACTTCATTGTATCAATCGACTGAATAGGTTCTTTTAAAAAAAACAACTCAGATATTTCATATCTCTCTAAATTTCATCTCTGCCAACACGAGCAACTGGATGCTTCACAGAACGGTGTATTTTCCTAAGGCGGATTGCAATCTCCCCTCCCTCCTTGCTCTCTGGTGGCCTGGCTCTGTGTTTCTTGTTATGAAGCATGACCCCTGAAGTGGTTTGGGATTTTTCCTCCTGCCTTTGTACTCGAGCTCCAGCCTGTTAAGCTCCATCTGGGTTCAGTGTGAAATATTTGAGGTTACAATGGAAAACATTCTCAATTTAGCTAATTTCTAAGGTGGTGAAACACATAAGAGGAGTCTTAAAATAGCTTGGCAAATTAACTCGTTATACAAAGTAAGTGAATATATTTTGTTAAACCTGTGTTTGTATTTTTCCATCTCTCTCTCTCTCTGTGTTCCTTCCTCTATACCTTGCCTTCTGTATTTTTTAATTTCCACCTCTCTGATCTCTCTCTACCACCCTTCTGGTTTCTGTTTTGTCTTTCTTACCTGTGCTACACATCTAGAGATTATATACACAATTACAATAATAATAAAACTGTTACGCTAACAAGTGAACAAATTTCTGGGAATGATGGATAAATAAGAATGTGCATCCTGAACTATCCTCCTAGAAATTAATGCAATACTTTGTCAAATAAAGGAAAACGGAATCTGTGCTGAAAATCAGGAATGGTTTCAAGAACCAGCCGTGAATTTTGAAGACTTTCATTCATTTATTTAACATATATTTGAGTCTGGAGCAGAGTGCAGGAGCTCTATGCTTGGAGCTGCTTCATGCTGAGAACTGATAGCATTTGGAGAGAAAGCCAGCCCTGCCACACCCAGCTTCCCATTCATATTCTGGACTGTATATGAAGAAACATTTTCAGGCTTCAGAAGGGAATGCTCGTACTTTATAGTCATAATGAAAACAATATGCATATGTGCAAGACAATAATATTGGCATAGTTCCTAAATCAAAAGGTAGAAAAGAGCATGCAGCAAGGTCTCCTATCCACATCTGTCTTCAAACCAGCCATTTCATTTCTGCTTCCTCCAGGTAAGTATGGGTCACAATCTCTCCCTATAATATCATAGATTTTTGACACATGAGGTGGGATATACGATGTCTAATATATATATTTTATATATATTATATATACTAGTTTCAAAACTGGTTTGAAAACATTTATCTACATTAATTAAAATAATGTGATACAAATACAGAAGAGAGAACATGAAAGACAATTATAAATGTGGACTGAGGATGTAGCTCAGTGACAGAGCAATTGCCTTCCGTGAACAAAAGACTCTGGGTTTGATGCCCAGCACAGAAAGAAAGAAAGAGAGAGAGAGAGAGAGAAGGGGGAGGGGAGGAAAGAAAGAAAGAAAGAAAGAAAGAAAGAAAGAAAGAAAGAAAGAAAGAAAGAAAGAAAGAAAGGGCTGGGAATTTAGCTCAGTGGTTTCACCGCCTGCTGCGCAAGCGCAAGGACCCAAGTTTGATCCCTGGTACCAAAAAGAAAAAAAAGAAAGAAAATAATATATCTAGATATGAACCTACCTTTTTGTATGCGGGGGGATTTAGTACATGATAAGTAGCCTCTTAAATCAATGGGGAAAGACTTCATTAGTGAATATTGGTACATTAGGACACCTCACCTCATCATGTAAATCAAAACAAATTCCAAATATATTTACAATGTACATTTGTAAAAATGGAAGCAACAAGGTACTAAAAAATATAGGTAAAATGTCAGAAGGAGAAAAACAACAGGAGGTCACCAGCAAGGGAGGGGCCATGCAGCTGTGGGATGCAGACGGTGCCCCTGGGGGAAGCCAGCAGGGGAAGCAGGTGGGGGCCTGCTGCCCCAGGAGGCCCTGCTGGCAGGACCCAAAGAGCACCCGCATCTGTAGGCTGCAAGGACTACAGAAGTTGTAGGTCTGAAGAGCAGAGGCAGGAAAACGGGAGGTTAGCTGACAGTCTGTACATAGAGTAGTTACTACCTCCTCGGACAGAGAACTGCAAGAACATGTTACTCTCCCGGGCAAAAGAAAGCTGGCCCAGTGCTCACTTCAAGACACTGGAAAATCCTTCTGTATAGAACTAGGACAATTTCAGCAGGTGATTAGCCCTTAGGGTAGAAATGTAGTCCCCCAAAAGGGCAGTATTTACACATCATACTAATAGAAATACTCTTCGATGGTTGTCAACTTTTAAAATCAAGTGATAGAGAAAATATTGAAGGTTTAGTTATAGGTATAGAACTGTATTCATTTTCTATTGATACTCAAATTTGTTTTAGACTTGTGGAGGCCAGAATTCTAAAATGGGACTGAAGTGTTAAAATCAAGGTTTTTTAATTAAAAATGAATGGTACATAAACATGAAGACTTTACATATTAATGGGAAAACATGCTGTTTGATACATGTATGTATTCTTTGTTGGTAGAGCTGCATTCTTTTCGGGTAGTTCTAGGGAAGAGGCTACCTCTTTGGGGGGCTTGTGGCCCCATTTTTCATCTTTGAAGCCAGCAGCTCAGCATCTTCTAACCATTTGCTTTCCAGCTCTGGTCTTCTGCTTCTCCTTTACAAAGACTCTGAGACTATGTGAGGGTTATCTGTACAATCCAGAGTAATCTCTTTGTTCTGAAATCAGCAGGCAAGGGATTCTAACTCCATTCGTAACCTTAACCCCCTTTGCCATGGAATCTAACATGTTTACCAATTCTGGGGCTAGAATACGGGTCTCTTTGGAGGGTTATTATTCTGTCTACTTCAAAAACCAAATGTGCATTTTAATCTGTTTTGACAGTGGAAAGAAAAATTTTAGCTGGTAGCTATAGCAAGCAAGGAAGAGATGAGGATGGAAGGGTTGATAGAATAGGAAATATAGATAACTATTATAACCAGCTATCACCATTTAGAATGAATCTGGAAGAGAGGGAAAGTAGGACATAAGTGAAGTGAGCTACACACTTATATACATCAGAGTAGAGAGTCTATGTTTAATGTCTAAAGGTGAAAAATTAAGAACTAACAGCATAAGCTCATTATAATTATGGAGGGAACCACCAGAATTAAAACCCATGGGGTTGAATCATTTAATGTGCCTGAGCCATGATTTCCTCATATGTAAAGCTAAGATAATACTACTAACCACCAAAGAGTGTGTTGTTAAAGTTTTAAATGAGTTACTACATGTCGGCAGGGCAGGACTTTTTATGTATTACGTACCTCAAAGTTCATCATTATTAATTCCATGCCTATGCTCATCCTCAAGAAAATGAAAAAGAGTATCCTGTTGCATTTGTCTGCTAAGGCTTCCAGAACAAAGTACCACAAACTGGATGGATTAAAACAAACCCAACTTATTACCTGCCAACTCTGGAGGCTAGAAGCCTGAAATTGAGGTAGCAGCAGGGGAGTGTGTGTGTGTGTGCGCACGCGTGCTTGTGCGCACACACACACACGTGCTTCCAATTTTTCCTTTTTCATAAGACAATAGCCATATTTGATTAGGGGCCACCTTATTACAGTATGACCCCATCTTAACTAATTATATTTACCATGACACTATTTCCAAATAAGATTGCATTCTGAGGTATTGGGGTCAGAAATCCAACATGGCTTTTAGGGGGACATAATTCATTCCGTAATACTCATGTTGCCCAGGGTCAGGGGAAACTGGCGTGCTCATGGTCTGATAATGGGAGGATGAATTCTTTAGCCTTTCAGAAGAGCAGCTTGTCAATATGTATTAAAATTTCAAAAATATGTCTACTGTCTGAAATAGCAATCTCAATATTCTCTCTGCATACTACACAGATAATTGCACTGGAGCAAAATGCTGTATGAGTAAGGAGGGTCTTCGCAGTTTTGTGGATAGCATTAAACAAAACATAGGAGTACATAATTGCCTAAATAGCTTATGATTCATATACATGAGACCATTAAAATGAAGATGATGCTTTGCTGAATTTCACAGTGAAATGCTACACTTCCCACTGACAACAACACACATATCATTGTCAAGAATTTTCAGAGCTTGGAGGAAGACATTTATTTTTTTAATTTAAAGTAGCCAAACTAGGTATAAATGAATGTGTGTTTGTTCTGATTGCTAACACATTGTTACTAAATTTTGTGTTCCTATTATTTGGATACTGTAATCTAGTGACATGAAAATGTGTTTTAATATAAAATCAAATAAAAGTAGTGTATAAAATAGTATTGGTGATATAGCTCCATTTATATAAAACATTTACATAAAAATTGAAAGAATATTCTTAGAAACCAAAACATTCAGTAATCAGTTAATCTGCCAACATCTTCCTGGAAGATTTTGATAGAAAATGGAATTAGAGAGTACAGTTGTCCTTCTGTATCCCTGAAGGCTTGGTCTCAGCAACCCTGTGGGCAGCAAATCCACCAGTGGTCAAGTCCCTTGTATGACATTGCATGATATTTGCATACAACCTATGGATATCTTCTCCTATACTTTAAATCATCTCCAGATTGCTTCTAATACATGATACAATGTAAATGTTATATAAATAATTTTATAGCATATCATTTAGGAAATAATGACAAGAAAAAAAGCCTGTACATGTTTAGTGCAGATGCATTTTTTAAGAACGTATTTTAATATGCACTTAGTTAGATGCAGAAAGTTGACTGTATTTTAATTTCAATGTTAATTCATCCACATATTCTTAATTTTCCTGTCATGAATGTGCATTGCCCATTTGATTAAGATGGGACAGTGGTTTAACAAAGGAAAATGGGCCAGTGATTGATCTTCGAAGTTGATTTTAGATGGGTAGTACAGAGAAGGGATGGGGATTTCTAAATCTTTTTTATCCTTCAAAGCCACTTTAAATGTTGCCCTTTTTAGGTACCCAGCTGTGGTCCTAAGGTGCAGACAGAACATGGGGCAGACAAGATGACATTCTGTGACATCTTGAGATAATGGGATATGTCCAGATAATGAAACAAAAGGATATGAGTACCCTACTTCATATATAATGGTGAATTCTCAGAGACAAGTGTTGCTTGGAAAATAATATTGAAAGCACCCACCCTCACACAGTAAAACTATTATGTAATGTATGTGCCTCCGAATACATTCTATTCTGCCAAATACTCTAAACTTAGTTAGGTTTTCAGGGTACCACCTTTCTTCAGCTCCTAGAACTGGTCAGTTTGCAATTGGACAAAACTTAAGGCTACAGAAGGAGTATCTAGTTCCATTTGTTTGTATCTATTGGGAAGACCTGGCAGATTTTATCAAATAATATTTTTTTTTCTGAAGTAGGTGATCCATTTGAGAAAATAACTCCATGGCTACTCCCCAGCTGTGTGCCTGACCTCAAATGGGATTATTAACTTGCTACCTCAGCTTTGGTTGAGTTAAGCAAATGCCTTAATGAAATATTTAGGATCAAAACATTCCTCTCCCATGACCACATCCTCCCTGTTTTCTCTTCTATCATAACTACTTCGACCTTCTGCCCGATTCCCCAAGAGGCAGCAGGCATTGTGCTTAAAGGGGACTTAAGAGCCAATCTGCTTGTGTTCCGATTTGGGCTCTGTCATTACATAATTGTGACATGGGGAAAATCATTGAACATCTATGTGTCCCTCTTTCCTCATTTGAGCAGTACCTCTAGCACAACACTGTTTTTAAAATTAAATACATAATGAGCACTTAGAACAGTTACTGGCATGTGGTACAGTTTATGCAAACATTTTTTGAATAAAATAAGTAAATACCTGTACTAGACCGTATTATCTCTGTCCCAACAACATGGCCCAACAGGTCATACTGATTCAGGCGAGAGCCATCTTGTGCCACTTCCACAGATCTGTTCTTCCCAAGAGTCCAAGAATAAACCACTTCAGCTGTTGTGTAGGCATCTAAGACAGAGAAAGGTCAGGAAGGAGAAGTTGAAGGGAAAGGAAAATGATGGTCCACAATACTCAACTCACAAGAGATTTAAATACAACTTATTTCCCCAAAAAGTTCGGGTATGTCTCCTATTTAATTGAAATCCATCCACCCATCTAACAAACACTCATTTAATCACTCCTATTTGATATATCACACACATAGAAATTAACCCAGAGTAGTTTCTTCCTCCAGGGACTCACTGTCAATAATCTTTCCTTCTCCTAAAGGCTCAACAGTAGGGTAGGGGAGGAAGGACTAAAATGTTACCTCCTGAAGATAGCACAAGCTCAAATGCCTACAGGGGCCAGACACTACCTTAAGTGAGTGAGTCAGGCTAGCTGCAATGAAAGTAAACTGCCAGAAAAGTAATAAAATTTTCTATAATTAATTACAGGGTGATCATATGAAATAAAGTCAAAAATGCAGACTAGTGATATTTAAAAGAATGAAAAATCCAATTTAACAATAGCAATAATTAATGATCACAATTTTCTTTCACAACTTATTTATTACCACTCTTGAAGTGCAAACCAGAATTGCAAACCTGACAATTTTCTTTTGCACCAGGGTGTTAACCTTAGATCCTATATTTGGAATCCAATATCAAGTTCAGAATGTTGTACAGATTAAAAGGAGCATAGGTAAAGAGAAATGCTGGGGAAAGGAGTTGGAGTCATTTAGTTTTAGTTGGTTTCTTAGAGGAATAAGTTTATTTCTTTTTAGTCACAATTGATATTTTCACAGTGGGCTTCATATTTGGGGTGAGTAATTTGCCCTAACATGTGCATCTGAGGTTATCAGGGGAAGCGAATCACCATACTGTTCATTCCTTTCCTCAAAGTTTTGAGCTGTTTGTTGTTCAAGTCAGTAAGGAGTGTCTCCAGCTCATGGTCACAACTGGTATGTTCACAGTGTGCTCTATTTAAACATTTTGCCCAAAGCAAATAATTTCTGGTGAATCTGCCAATGAATTAATGTGAAATATTGGTCCCTGCAAAATTCTGTAATGCTGGGTATACATTTTATACTAAATCTGACGTTAGATATATATCTCATAAATTTAACATCAATGCTTACTAGAATACTAATCATGATATGGTTACATTATACTCTTCAGGACTTTTTTTCAATACAGCTACGAAAGCCAATTCCTCATTTGCATATAATGGGCAACATGTCCCCCTTCCAAGTGCTTCATTCATATCAAAATTCTCCTTAACATCATGAAAGAAAAGTATAACCCTATACTGTTTATTCTGTGTTCTTAGAAGCTGCAAAAGGAAATTTCACAAAAATAAACTTTTCCACACAACTTGCCCTATATATGGTCTCAATCATGTCTTCAACACACCAATACTTCTTTGACATATCCTTTATGCTGCGATTGATAGATAATTTATAAATTGTACTCTATAAAATATCTTGATACTTGGGAAAGTATATTACTAAAGGTATATTGCATTTTCCACCAGCAACACTTAATGTATGCATTCAGAAACAAAACTCACTGAACTTTCAGTCTGTTTTCTTTAAGATTCTAATTGTATGTTTTGTCTATGCAGTAGTGGCCTCTTATCTGTGCTTTTGTTTTCTAAGATTTCAGTTATGTGTGCTCCGTATGGTCCCAAAATATTGATGGCAAGTTCCAGAGAAAAGCAATTTATAAGTATCAAACTGCATGCCATTCTGAGTAACATAATGGCAAATCATGGTACACTTACCCTTCCTGCATGGGACGGTAATCATCTCTTTGTCCAGTGGATCCATGCTGCATACACTACTCGCACATTAGTCACTTAGTGGCCATATCAGCTGTCAGATGAACTGTTGTGATATTGCACTGCTTATGTTCAAATAACCACTATATAGTTCCTAACACTATGTCATGATGCCTACATCTTTCACTTTACATCATTTCACTATATAGGCACAGCATCAGTTCACACCATCACAAGATGAGGGAGTGGAGAATGAGAAGAGATTTTGAGAGAGAGAGTCAGAGTGAGAGATCATATTTACATAACTCTTACACAGTATGTTGTAAGAATTGTTCTGTCTTATTATTTTTTATTATTAATTTGTTATTGTGCCTACTTAATAAGTTAAATCTTATCACAGATGCATTTGCACAGGAGGAAACACTGTATAGACAGTGTTTCAGACAACTCCCAGAAGTCCTGGAACATATTCCTCACAGGTAACGGGGACTAATGTATACCAGTTATAGCTCCTGTCATGGTGGCATATTTTTGATATCTGAAGTTTTGTTTTTCAAGAAAAGCATACTGTGTATGCAAAGTAAAAATGTTGAAATATTTTTCATCTCTATAAGGAAATACAAACATTCCCATCTGTCATGAAACACAACCATCTCAGTCTTTTAGTTTTTCTTTTAAATGATAGATACAGCTCTAAGAAGTACTTAATGTTCTTTTTAATCATGCTGGAAACCTTTAATTATAAGTAAAATAAGAGTGCAGATGAACTGATTAATAGCAAATGATACTGGAGCTCTTTTCTCATGGAGAAAGGTAAATGACAGAGCTTATGAGGAATGAGCAAGTGCATGCCAGTCTACAAGGGACGGCCAGTGATCAGCCTCAGCTAACTAGGGTCATGGAAAACTTGAGACTAGTGTTGTCAGATATTCTGATTTCAGAAAATAATAAACAAATCTGGAGTCTTATGTGACATGTCCAAAACATCAAATCTTGGCAGATAATTGAAGAAGTGATTAACAGTGTATGTATCGAGATTGCTACGAGCTCTGGTGATTCACTCTTGGAAACAAAGCACCCTCCCTGACTACAGTTTATCTTGGACTTCCAACTGGAATTGTAGTTCTTTAAACTACTATCACTAAGGAGAAAGAGAACCCTTCTCAGGAATTGTCTCACGCCCCTACCTAAACTTTATGTTACTAGCAAGTGAGGAATGTCACAATGTCATCAGTGAAATGTGATTTCACAAGACACTTGTCTCCCCCTCCTCCCTGTGCTTTCGATATATATATATATATATATATATATATATTTAATATATATACCTGGGGTCCCCTTATGCCTGAGCAGAAAACCACCTTTGCTACAAAAAGGGCAATGCACTGTTTCATCGAATCTACCCAAGAGTTTTGACAATGGAAAAACTAGCACAGGTTTGTTCAGGTAAAGGGTAAATGATGGAAGAATTTGTCTTTACTGCTTAGGAAAAAACAAAAGTTTCTTGTAGGATTTCTGAAGGTAAGCTGAGTACCCTGAAGAGACATCACTGAAATGTTAGCCCTAAAAATCTTAGGAGATTCTATGTAGATGTGACAATACATTGTGCAACTGACGGTGCCTTACAACTTTACTAGGCCTAGAATGGCAAGTTGGTTTATGCCAAAAAAACCCTTTAATATCCTTCAAAATAATATATGGGAACAGAGGGATTTGTGGAAAAAAAATTCTCTCCATAATATGGAAATCGAAGCAGAGAAGGTAAGAACTAATGAAGGAAGAGAGGTAAGAAAGAGAAGTAAACTGCTAAAAAGCAAACTAAGGGCTTGGGTGTAGCTCCGTGGGAGAGGACTTGCTTAGCATGCTGAAGACTCTGGATTCACCCTCTTGACCTCCATAAAATAAAGCAAAGGAAACAAATCACAAGATATTGATTGAATGTCTCCTTAAAACCTGACCTGTGCTGGCAAACAAATGGTAAGAAGGCACCGCACCCCTCACCAGGGAGCGCGCAATCTGCTGGAGGAGATAGAGTGGAACAGAGTGTAAGTTTGAGCCTAAGCAGCGCGCGTGGGGAAGATCACCTCTGCTGCAGTATTAATGACCAGTAGGACAGGGTGCACTTGAAACCATGACCGCATCTACAAGAGCACCGTAGTGCTCTGTGTGAGTGGCTTGTAGGGTTTACTACTTTAGTAGGAGGCAGTGAATTGAACTGGGTGAAACAGAGGAAATTTTAGGGTTAGGACAGATGAAAACTGGTAGTTTTCATGATGGTTAAAAATGAAAAGAAGGAACTTTAAGTGTTCCAGATGGCTTCGAGACTCTCCCTTTTCCAAGTACATGGCTAGTGATGGAATTCACGCACCCTCTGGGGAGCAGCATTCTTTTGCTTTATACCTTCTCTTTCTTCTCTCCTTCCTCCACAGCCCTGGGGCTCCCTTAGCTCCTTGGCTTTCCTCCTTCTTTTCACTTCTAATTATTCTATTTTTGTCGAGGAGCCAGGGTAGGGTATGGGGTGATGGAGCAGCTCCGAAAGAATACCTATGAGATAATTAGAACTCATACGCCGGAATGCTTCCTTCGGTATATTTTACACTGTCTATGATGGCACAAGCATCTCCCTGTGTTATGGTTTACATAGCCCAAACATTTCCCAAATGTCCCAAGTGTATGCCATGATCCTTTCGGGTTCTATAGCTCACTTGCCTGCAGGAGGAGGCTGGCTGGCCAGAGGCAGTCACTGGGAGCATAATCCAGAAGGGTGTATTCTTGCTCCCAGCTCTCCCTTCTTTTTCGGCTTCCGGCTGCCTTGGGGTGAGCAGCTTTTCCTCTACCGCCAAGCCCTCCACAATGCCATTTCTGCCATGGAGCCAGTCAGCCATAGACTGAATTCCCCCCAAACTGTGAGCCAAATAAAACTCTCCTTATTTAAATTGCAAGTATCAGGTATTGTGTCCAGCCATGGGCAAGTGATTAACGCATGTTGTGTTGGCTGGGCGTGGTGGCGCACAACTGTAATCCCAGCACTCAGAAGGCTGAGGCAGAAGGACTGCTGTGAGTTCAAGGTCAGCCTGGGCTACACAGTGAGTTTAATGCCAGCCTGAACTACATAGAGTGACCTTGTCTCAAAAATAGATAAATAAATTAAAAATTAAAAATTTTTAAAAACCCAAAAAGCAAAAAACTCATGTTGCTTTTAATTGCTTTGCCAAATGCCTTCTTTTGCTACCTGACAGATCTCAGGAAAATTGGAAGTAAAAAAAAAAAAAAAAGAGAAATCAATCCACAGAAGCACCAATAAGAAACCCTGTTTCTGAATTCACATTGTCAGAGACTGATTATTTACTTGATTAGTTGATTCAGTCATTCATTCAACAAATACTAAGGCAATGTAGTGAAGTTTCAGAGGTCAGAAGACAGTTGAAGCTAACACATGGTCTAGTACAGAAAATGTTCCACGTGGACTTGAGAATAATGTACATTCTGATGTTGTGGAGTGGAGTGCTCTGTAAGTCTCTTGGGCCTAGTTGTGTTATAGTGTTGTTTAAGTCCTCTATTTCTGTAGTGATCTTCCAACATAGTTAATCTGTCCATTATGGAAAGTGGAACATTGAAATCTCCAGTTATTGTTGTTGAATTGTCATCACTTTTACTTTGCATGTTTGGGGTCCCCATGGTTAAGTGTATGTATCTTTCCAGTTGTCACACCTTCCTGGTGGGTTGGCTCTTTAAAAATTACAAAATAGTCAAAGGTTCTACAGAGTAGGGAAGAAGAGGATGGGAATAAGTCTCCCTGATCTTACTGAGACTTTGTCCTTTTTGCTGAATGACACTCCTCATGTCCTTCAGAGACTTTGGCTGATTTCCTCCAGAGTTTGGACAAAGTTCATTCTGACAGTTTTCAAAAATCATATCATTGCTTTTATAAGGAAGTAGATTTTCAGAAGTCCTTACTCCATCATTCCAGAATTGCTTCCTCACTAAGAATTTTTAAGGTTAATTTTAACTGTCCAAATACACATTTAAAAATTTAAATCCCTTACTTCTTGACATATTTTATTTGGCACCTGGGCTAATGTACCATTAATTTCACCTGTCCCATTCATCAGATTTATTGAATTGTTCTCTTTTCTCTAGCGTCTTTATGTTATCATGACTGATGAAACAGTTCCTGATCTCTTCTCTGAATATAGTCATTTCATAGAGATCTTATCCAGACTTATGGCTTTAAAGTACTATCTATAAACTAGATATCCAGTCCACATCTCTTTCTGGACACTTTCTATATTTTCTGAACAATTTCTATATTTTATATATCAAATCTGGAAGAAAGTTTAGAAATTAACAAAATTTTTAATGCATGCAAGAATTACCAATAGATGTAAAGGCATAAATTTGAAGGAATCTATTCGTGTCAAGTCAAAACAAAAGTGGAAAACACTGAGACCTTGGATTAAAAGTTGTGAAATTTGCAGTTGTCAGGGTAAGAGTACATAGGATTTAAGTGCACAATTTGACAGATTGATTTTGCTTAATATGAGAGTGTGCTGGTGGCTCTATGTGCCACTAATGATAAATCTTTCTTCAAACTTAGATATAAATATATCTATATACATAGTACAGTATATAATTAGACATGCACTATATACACATGTGTATATAGTACACTGCATGCAAACCCTGAGAGTGTTATTCTGAGAAATAACAGGTTTGCGGAGTAAAATAAATCCTTAAAATGGTAATTCCAACATGTGAGTCTATCAAATTTAACTTGCTAGGAGTTCCAAATATTATTATTCAAATGTTATCCAATAAAATTTATTGACATTTTCTAGTGTCTAAGTATCCTCTATAGACTGCTAGTCTTCTAAAAATACTTCTAAATGAGTTAATAATGACTAAAGTCCATTAAACATTTTGGAAGTGTGGTATGATTAAGATTTAACAGGAATCTGCTGGAAGATAAAATAGGAAAAAAATTGAAGACATAGGCATAAGTAGGACTTTCTGAACAGAATGTAAACTGCACAACAAATAACAACAGGAATCAACACATGGGATTATATCAAATTACAAAGCTTCTGTACAGCAAGGGAAACAACCAACAGAGTGAAGAATACAGAATAGGGAAAAAATGTTTTGTCAGCCTCTCCTCAGACAGAAGACTAATATCTAGAAAATGATTCTCTCAAAACAAAGAACAAATGGACGATATATACATGAAAAAATGTTCAGATAAAAGGTTAAATCTAAACAATACTGAAATTCTATCCTACTCTAGTAAGAATGGCTGTATCAAGGACTTAAAAAAGAATAAATGCTGGCAATGCGGTTAGAAAAAAGGACCCTTTCTACATTGTAGGTGGGAATGCAAACTAGTACAACCACTGTGGAAATCAGGATGGAGAGTCCTCAAAAAGCTTAAACTAGAAGCTCCATTTGATCCAGCTATTCCTCTTCTGGGAATTTTCCCAAAAGTTTTAAATAGATCATATTAGAATGGTACAGACATACCCATGTTTATAATAGCACGATCTACAATAACTAAATTACGAAAGTGGTCTAATTGCCCACCAACAGATGAATGCATAAGGAAATGTGGTGTATATACACAACGTAGGACTACTTTCCGTAAAGAAGGGTACGTTTCAGTCATGTGTAGGAAAATGGATGCATCTTGAGACTATAATGCTAAGTGAAATTAATCAGATACAGAAGGTTAAATATTATGTGGTTTCTCTAATATTAGAAATCCAAAATGAAAATAATTTAAAGAACAAAATAAAGGAGAGATGGTAGGAAACAGGAAGGTAGACTTTGTAAATGTGGGAAGTAAATGTGGGAAAGGGAAAGAGGGAAGGAAGAGGGGAGTAAAAATGACCAAGGTACAATATGTATATATTCCAGTTTCCCAAAATGAATGTAATTATTTATACATCACAAATACACGCTACTAATAAAAAGAAAGCTACCTTACATTCCCTGGAATTCTAGCTTTTTGCTTATGAATCCTGTAGTTCAGTATATCAGGAATTTGGGAATATTGCCAATAGCTATGATAAATAAATTATTAAAGACTTCTAACACCACAAATATGTTTTGCCTGTTTTCATATATGACAAAAAGTGAGTCACATTCTCTCTCTCTCTCTCTCTCTCTCTCTCTCTCTCTCTCTCTATATATATATGTATATATCTGGCTTTTTTGCTCAGCACTGTATCTATGACCTCATTTCTGTTGTTGGGTGCTATATAATTGTCTTAGTTCTATGGTGCTTATTTTGTGCCCACATCACAGATTTTTAATCCTTTCTGATGGACATTAGGGTAGTTTTCGGTGTAGCTCTATTGCAGTTAGCTCTGCTACAAACATAATTTATATGCCTTTTGGTGAACACAAACACTGGCTTATGTTTGGAGATATATTTTGGACTAGAGATGCAAAGTTATCTGACATGTGTATGTGCAGCACTATTAGATGCCACCAAACAAGTTCATAACCTCTGTACCAATTTATAGGCTTATTAGCAGGTCATGAAGATACAGATACATACCATTAACTCCTTTACTTTATAAAAGTTTCTTTTTACCTGTCACATTTTGAAAACTTTTGTTTTCAGTACTGAGGACTAAACTCAGGGCCTCTGGAAATGAGCTACATCCTTCATCTATTTAAATTTTGATTCAAGGTCTCCCTAAGTCAGTAAGTTGCCCAGGCTGGGCTTGAATTTCTGATCCTCCTCCTCCGCCTCCCAGAGTGCTGGGATTCTGGGTGTGTGCCACCATGGCTGGGTACTTTTTGAAATTTTAATTGATATATGATAATTGCACAGATTTGTCAAGGACAGTGTGATACTGCAATACGTATACACAATGTGTGATGACCAAGTCAGAATAAGTGTGATAATGAGCATAGCCATCCCTTCAAATAGTTATAATTTCTCCATGTGGGGAACTTTTAACTATTTTGAAATATAAAGGAAGATTTTGTCAACTATAACCACCCTACCATGATACAGAACAGTAGAACTTATTCCTCCTACCTAACTGTATTTTCCTACTCGTTATTCATCCTTTCCCTGACCTCCCACATCTGCCCTTTTTTTCTAATGAAACAGGATAATCCTGCGCAGTCTAATTTCAATTTCAATGACAATAATATCCTCCACCTAGGCATGACTGATTCTCCTTATTCCATGGTACTTTTATGTTTTCCCATAGTTCGTCTCACTTTACAACCTACTTCATACTTCACTTTTTTATTCATTATTTACTTGATCTTTCACTATCATTCTCCTCTTTAATAAAACACATGGCCAAGGGATTGTGTTTTATTTATGGGTGCATTCCCAGTCCTAGCATAGAGGCTGACACACAGGAAACAACCTGAAATATTTGACAAATGAGTGAATGAAAAATATGTCATATATAATAATTGAAGTTTTTCAAATGCTCTATTTCAAAATGCAGAGGTAAATCTAACATAGGCAGGACCACACATATCTCAGAATATTACTCTGATGATTCCCTACACAACTTACTCTGGAATTCTTAGATTCAGAAAAGCTTTCAAATTTCATTCAATTTTGACTTTTGTAATTCATTGGAAAACAGACTGTGTAGTTACTCTCTTCTCTGTAAAATTTGCAGCTACTGGAAAAGGCAATATTCTAAAAAGTGCACAAATCTTCAGTGGCTTCCTGTGTACTATTTACTGTTGTGAATGAGACAGAAGTATCTGAAGGTACAGGAGGAATAGACATTTTAACCTGATATAAATACAGTCTCTGAGTGATCTTGTCTTTTGGAAACTGCTACAGTACTGTATATTAGTTTTAGCCTTCTCTGTCCTCTGGGAAAATCAGCAAAAAGATGTTGATATTTTAATCTAATGACACAGAAATTATTCTGAAATGGTGAAATAAGATTTTCTGTTTTTTAAAAAAAAAAACTCTGTTAAAAGCTTAGGAAAAAAATTAAAGGCTAAACCTCTTCCTCCTGGTCAGTTAGTGCATCTTGAGCCCATTCTCTTTACTCATTTCCATACCAGCCAGAGGTAAAGACCTTAGTTTCATAAACTGCTAAGAAGCAACAAAGGATAGATTAATTTCTTTAGGTAGAAGATCAAGCAAATAAAACTGAGGAAATACATACAGCTTCCAAACTTCAGTGGGCAAGCATGCACATCCATGGGAAAATCTTCCAAATGCATGGGGCACTCAGCATGAATTGTTAACCTAAAAGAAAAGAGAACAGAAATGAAATAAACTAAAATAAGTGTCATTAAACATAAGGCTCAGTTCCCACTCAATAGCACCCTTAAGAACAACAGGGAAGTTTGGTTGTTTACGTTCACTGAGATTCACATCTTTCTGAACTCAAAAGATAGATTAAATGAACTAGATAGTGTCTCAAAGCCGCATTCAGTGTTCATATTTTTAGATAACATCTGAATCCTACCTTACCACCTTTAGAAAAAAACAAATATAATTGATCTGGCCTAACGTTACTTAGCTATTCTTCAAGAAGCCTGGAAGCCCTGGGTCCTGACGCATTCATTCCTGACCACAGTTTAATTATATCTGAAATAATTCTTCTCAGCAGGCTATTATGCGAGTTAACCAATTTAAAGATTGCACTGAAGAGGAAAGATGTGTCGAAAGAATATCTTTACCCTGACAATGAACAGGCAGACACAAAAGATAACTCTGCTGCTCACAGAAACTGCTACCGCTTTGTTAGAAGTGATGGCTCTTGGAAAACACACACACACACACCAACCATTTCAGAAAAAATGCAAATGTATCAGAGGACATCAGAAAGCTCATGCTCTTATACACATGTAGAGAAAATACATACAGGTTCCACAATGGATGGAGTGTGATCGGCACATACTCATTCCTTTGCACTAGCCTGTGTAAGTAATCTATGTCAGGGTTTTCCCTCTGAGTTCTTTCAAATTTTTGAAGCTCAGCTTTTCTTGGCTTAGAAAATAGCCTCTTATGTAGAAATGACACCTGCACAGCAAAAATATGGAGTTCTTCAGAACCCAGCTCCAAGGACTATTTCTATCTGGCATTTATGCCTCCTGGCTCACATTGAACCCAGTCCCTGCCATCTCACTGAAGTTCTAATAAGCTGAGAAGCTGGTTATCAATTATAGTGCCATTCATTCCCCCGACAGTTTTCTCAATTAGACAAGCACCTCTGCTCATTCCTTTTTAGGATCCAGAATTCCTGCTTAATAAAATATCAGTACATCAGAGCGAGGGCAATATGTCTCAATTCTAGGAAAAACCAAAGGAGCCCATTGGGGAAATGTCCTGTGCAGGGAATAAAGAAAGGTCTGTGAGGCATCCCCTGTTCAGACTCCCCCTTTCTCACTCTCCTCAATCCCGGGGCCACTATAACAGGACCAGGTAGCAAGACCCTGGCCAGAGGATATCCCCAGGCCATCGCTGCCTGACATTGCTTCTCCTTTGCTTGATGAGAGTGAGATACCAGAGGATATTTATTTATTGTCAAATTACAGATATCTATGTGTCTAAGAAGGCACAGGAGGTTCAATGTGTAATTGTAATCATTACAGTGATCACTGCTAATAACCCCTGAGATGTGCACAGCATGCTACAACTTCGAAAGCAGAGTTATATTCTGCAGTCCCATTCATGCCTGCCCCTAACATTTGTAATGCAGGGACCCCGGGTGCCTGGAGCTAAGGATGCTATTTGTTCCATTTGCTCCCCATGGTGACCCTGTGAGCAACATATTGAAGCCATTATTATCATCCCTGTTTCAGAGACAAGAAGTGGAAGTGTTTTTCAGAGTTGAAGTGATTTTCTCAGAGTCGCACAACCTGCAGAACTGGGGTGTAAATCCAGAGCTCTTTCCATGTCAGCTGTCTTCTGCTCATCTGAGGATAAATGTCTCTTCGACTCCTTGGGAATCTTAGTCATGTGAAAGATGCTTCAATTACCTATGCTTCCCTTTAAGTGAGAATTTCCCATGTGTAAGGTAGTTGTGGGTGCAATCAGCGTTCTTTCTGTTGCAGAAAAAGCTTGACAGAGTCTTAAAAGTCATAGCAAGGTGGAAGGAGAGAGGGAAGGAAGAAGAGAGTACAGTATGACAAGGAGGTCAGAGAGCATCAGGCTATGTCTAAGAACCAATGGGAAGAACACAGCCATAATTTCACTTGAGAAGCCCCTGCCCCCACAAACATCTGCTTCTGTTCTGCTCTGCTCTTAGGTGGGATGGTCAGGAAGTGGATGGAAAAGCAGATAGGAAAGTTATTATAAATCAGTTCTGCTCCTAATCAGAAATCACTACCTTTGCATCCTGCCTTTGTAATTTATTTGTTGTGGTCCCGTCCTCCACTTCCCAAGGACCACTGGGGAGACATAAAGTAATTTCCCCTCCCCTTGACTTTACTCCTAAGAGGCAGTATCTTAGAAATAATAATATAAGTACCAAAAGGGAACACACATTTTTCTTTATTAAACCCTCATGGACACTTTCAGTATACAAAAGAAGTAACAGATTTCTCAGTGAATTACACCTCTCTTGTGTCTGGTTCTCTGAGTCACGAAGCCCCCCACCCTTCTCCATTAAAAAATAAAGGTCAGATTGGCAGGATGGCTGGCTGGCTTGAGAGTTGAGCTTTTTGTGCAAGACATGTGGGACAAAGGATTCATTAAAACTTCAAGGGTACTCGTCATCTAGTTCCAACCTCTTGTTGCTTAGATGGGCTCAGTGGAACCACCGCCTGCCTCGCAAGTGCAGGGTCCTGAGTTCGATCCCCAGTACTCACCCCCCTTAAAAAAAAAAAGAAAGAACAAAGAGAAAAGATGGGTGTTTGCTGACGACCACACAATCGGTTGCTTCCTTCCAGCTTGGAGCTCTTGCTAATGGACACCTAAGCAGATTTGCTTTAGTTAGCCTACTTTAAACAATATCTATTACTGCTGCTCTGACCATCTGTGAACTTATTTGACAGTCATCAACTTAGGCAATGAGCCAAGATTAGAGATACTGGCCAGTTAGCCACCTCGAGACTGACTGAATGGAAGGCAACTGAGTCGGATTTTCAGGCTCATTCCTGCTTGTTTGTTTATCTCAGTTTTGTCATATATCCAATGACTAACATCTACAGTTTTCTTCCAAATAGTCCATTTTCTAATCTCTGTAAAATAGTTTTCTTCCCTAGCCCTAGAGGCTGAACAGATAACTGACAGAAAGCCTTGCCATTCAGAATAAAGAGTGTCTACACAAAAGAGGTACTAACCCTAAAGACTCAACATGCATAGAGCCTCCTATATCTAGAGATGAAGAGAATACATATCTGTTTTCAGTCACAGATGCTAAAATGCATTCATTACTTTATTCAATAAAATCATTGAGACCTACTTTGTCCTAGGCCCACTCCCTGGAAAGAGCTTGTGTGCAGGCATGAATCTAGCAAACATGCCTAGCACTCATAGTGCATCAGGCTGTAACTCAGACTTAGACAAGCTGACTGCCAAGGAGGAATAGTGTGTGTGGATACATGCAGTCCCAACACCACTTGACCTAGTTCTCAGGAAGGTACTGTGGGTGCAGAGAAGATGAAATAGTTATCATGCACATGGCCATCAGAGAAGGCCTTATAGGACCAAGATTACCTAAGACGAAGCTTCACAGATCAATGGAATGAGGTAGAGAAAGGCATTCTAAAGAACATTGCATCTGCTTGACACCATAATACTAAGTGAAATAAATCAGACATAGAAGGTTAAATATTGCATGGCCTCTCTAATATGAGAAACACAAAATATAACTAAATAGCAAAATAAAGGAGGAGAGATGGTAGGGCACATGGAGGCAGACTCTGTGGAGATGAGAAAGGAAGGAGAGAGGAGGGCTGGGAGGGGAAAGGGGGAGTAAAAATGATCAAGATGAGACATATATATACCAGTACCCCCCCAAAAATTGCCATATATGGCAATTTTTGGGGGGGTACTGGGGCTCGAACTCAGAAACTTGTACTCACGAGGCAGACATACATATGGCAATTTCCCAAGATGAATGTGATTATCACAAACACACTCATATATATATATATATATATATATATGGGTGTGTGTTTATAATATAACTCATTACTAATGTATTGCAAATAGACACACATCTTGCTTACAATGATGCACAAAGGCAGAAATGAGTCTGGCTCATTTGGTAATGGCTTTGTCACCGTATTCTTTGTTGCTGAATAGTTGTTTTCTTTTAGCCTGCTACAGCAATTAGTTCATGTTTTATTGCTGCCATAGCCTCCTGATTTGTCTGTCTGCTCACAGTATGTTCTTGACACAACAGCTTTCTATCTTCCCCATGCACAGAGAATGACGCCCAATCCCTACATGGTTCGACATGATCTTGTCCCCTGCACCTCTTGCTTGTCTCTTGCTATACTTTCCCTGGCTCACTCAGCGCCCCCTATTTTAATATGGCAGGCTCTCTGACATTATTGCTTTTGTACTCACTATGTTCTCTGCCCAGGATGTTCTTTCAAAATACCTGGATGACTAATTCCTGCACTTTTCCCTGGTCTTTGCTTAATTAACATCTAAAAGAGGCTTGTTCTGACCTCTCTTCAGTTTCCCACTCACCCTCTGCGTAATAAATTTTAATTTCCTTTATCTTTTTTTTAGTATCTGACACGCAATATTCCATACAATTTATTTTCCCGTTTCTGTGTATTTTCTTTCTTCCCTTACTCTAAGGTTAGGGATTTTTGTCTTGCTTTCTTTCTGATGTGTGCCAAGAGTACAATGCAATACCTCACACATTACAGGTTTTCAACGAATATCCACTGAATGAGTGAATTATTGGATGGCTTTTCTTTTCTAAAGGCATATATTTCTATGAGAAGCTTGCAAGGAGTAGGTGTGGGTTGAGTAAGACCAAGTTCAAGTATTCACAGGGTTCCAGGAAAAAAGTATCTTAACATGATTCATTAATGTCAAAATATGTCAATTTCTCCCATTCCTTTCCTACAATTTCAGAGCTGAAAGACCCTTATAGAAAGTATCTAAGCTGGGCATGGTGGTCCGTGCCTGTTATCCCAGCACTCTGGAAGGCTGAGGCAAGAGGATCAAAAGTTTGAACCCAGTCTAGGCAACTTAGCAGCTTATCCAGACCCTGTCTTAAAATGAAAGCAATAAAAATAAAAAGGGATGGGGTTATGCCTCAGTGCAAAGGCCCT